AACAAAAGTCTGTGTATTCATTTAGACTATCCTCTACGTCTATGCCAAAGTTTATTGAGATCCGTTCAGCCATTTAGAATTCAAACTCTGACAACGTCCATCCATCCATCTAAACTTTCACATTTATAATATTAGTAACTTGTAAGATTATAAACTGAAGTAATGTAAACTTTTTTGCAGACCAAAACAACGGTGAATGTTTCCTTTCCGACGGTGAAATAAATCCATTGAAACTTACAATGCGACCCGGCACCACGGAGCCACTGCTAGAGAATCTGGAAATGGACCCGTTCTTCACCACGGGAAAACTTAGTGTCAGTTCCAGTGAAAAGTTTAACAAAGAGTACAACAGAACTCGGAAAGTAACCGAATACTCGGCAGCGTCAGAAAACAAAGTGAGAAGAAAACGAGAGAACGATGTAGTTAAAGCAGAAGCTTACACGGATAAAGATGGACATAGAAAACATGTTGTCAATATGGTAAGAAAAAATAAATAGTATTAAATTTACTGTAAGAAAATTTGAAAGTATTGTTGGGTAAGTATTGTTGGGCATATTGGTAACGTCCACCAATTATCTCCTTTAGTTAGAGAACTAAAATATTGTCAAATACACACACACAAAACTAATTTAACTGTGGAACATTCCAGAACTGCCAAAAGAAGACAGCGAAATGCATTCAGTTCCATTGCATAATCTACGGGCTACGTCGCATGCAAGCAAGCACGATTACTGTACGAGCTCGGTTGTGGAACGCTACGTTAGTGGAGGACTACCCTCGCGTTAGCCACGTCAACATCGCCTCCAGCGCCGCGCTGCGCATACCTGAGCACTACAATATACATCAGAGCAAGCACCACGATGATGTTGCCACGGTAACGAGATTAAAATATAAATTGTAGTCCTAGTCAAATTATCCCAGCAATGTCAAACATTATGCAAGAGCACCATTACATTTTTAGTCCAATTTACCTCATATTTATTCATACATTTCACAGATTTATAGGTTGAAAATTAATTTCTAAAAAACAATGTTTGTTCTAGGTTGAAACGGTTGCATATCCGGATTTGAAGATAAGCGAGCCTTCAGAAGTGCCTTTATGGGTGATCATAGTGTCAGTGATAGTTGGCTTAATTGTTTTAATCTTGTTGATTATCGCCTTATGGAAGTTGGGCTTCTTTAAGAGGAGTCGACCGGACCCGACTTTGTCCGGGAATTTGGAGAAGAACAACCACGAGTCCAGTCCATTCATTGGCCGAGACAGAAACAGTGTTCGATAGCTGTGCAAAACAGTGTTCGATTGTTGAAATTCTCATGTGGAAGTAATACTAGAACTTCAAATTTTATGTGTTGAACGCATTCTGGAACTTGTGTTGAACTTATAAGTACAATTGTTTTGTATAAAACAATGTACATAAATGTGTTCGTCGTTGACTTTATTTATATGTGACGTGTATGTAAGGTTATATAATTTATAAATATCATTTGACTGTGATGTCTTCGTAGAGGAAAAATGCGTGTTTGTGATGTTAAAGACGCTGGTATTGTTTTGTTGATGTTTGCACGAACACTAAAATATATTGTTTTATGGCAAAGATTTAAATACATACTCTGTGACACGACTGCTTTATTTACAGTGCTACAAGTCTGATAAAGTAGTTAAGAATGAAATGTTTAAAAATAATTAATAAACTTATATCGTTTGATGAATGTCTACTATATTTTGCGCCAGTGACAAAGGTTTTTACTTTTTCTTTACCGAATAATACATAAGAAAAAATGTTGTACGTGTTCTGTCTATGTATTTAAGTCTCTGTGTTATTTTAATTGCATTTCCTTAGTGTTTAATGAGAAATATATTTGTTTATATATTCCATTGAATATGTATCCTTTTGTAAATACTTACTTGCCCTAATTATTATTTATTAAGTAGTGTTAGTGTATATTTAAAGTCGACTAGATTTTTTTACTAGTCAAACAATTGTTATACCTGTGTAAGTTTTAGGGAGGTATCCTAGTGAAAAAATACGGTCACAAAGTTATATTTAGTTATTGTTTTAAATAAACTACTTAAATCATGACCGTAAATTTTGCGTACTTAAACCTGAAATATCTACTTACTTCGGATTTTGTGTAAAATCGGAATAGGAGCGCGAGCACATCATTGACTATGGCACAACTGTTAAGTCGCCCTTTGATTCCTTTAGGCTCGTAGGAATTTTAGTTGTGCAACTAAACAGTTGAATCAGCTGCGAAACAAACGACAATCGCACAACTGTTGTGCGACTGTTCATTCAAAGATGTGCGCCTGTTCTTAAGATTAACTTATTGTATATTTTAAGGCATACAGAAAAAAAAGTTTTAAAAGACGACATGACCTGTGCTTATATTCAGTATTTATAAGTAACCGGACTGTTTTAATGAATTTTTAAACAGCGTTTATTGCATACTTTGAGAAATATAATTATTTGTTCATAGTTGGAAATCAATTTATATTTTGTACCTAAACAGATGTTTTTAAGGCGTGTAAATATATTAGTTATTTAAGATTTTATACTAAAATTCGTCTTTGTTGGTGACTTAATGTAATATGGCTTCCACAATTTTGTACATGACCTTAGTAAGTATATATGTACTCATTGCATTATGTATTTTATAATGTAATTTGAACACATTTATAAAACTGGTTGTGACTAGTTCTGTTATACATTCTGTGTCTCTCTTTTTACAAATACATTGTACGTACAATCATTGTATGAAAATAATAAAAGGTGCCATTAATTTCTTGTTTTATTTAAAAGATTTTGCCAACACTAAACACCATCCCGTTAGAACGATATTGCCAAAAACGCACTCTGTGTGGAGAATCTGTCATTCAACATCTCTTGACAAATTCTAAATTAAAAAAAAAAACTATGTTTTAATCGGTACAATAATGCCAATTACTGATACATTTATCTTAGCTTGCTTTACTTTACAGCGATAAACGAAGTGTTTGATAATGTTAAACGTTTCCGTGTACAGATCCGATTGTAGTTACATCACGAGGAACTGAAGAACATGATCGTACGTACGATTTTATTGATTTTATTTCGAAAAACAATGTTTTAGTATTACCTTAAACAATAACGATATTCGTTATTAAATTACTGTAATACCAGATGGTATATAATTTCTCTGGTTGTACTTAATCGTGTTTCAAATTACAACTAAGCAAAAATTGTCTGAGGTTGTATAAAAAGGTATAAAATTAAACACATATTTGACTGGATATTACTTTATTGGTTATCCAAATTATATATTTAAGCAAGTTCTTAATATTTTCAAATTAATCTTTGGTATGTTTTTGACACGATACAAAATATAACGATTTGTAGACAATGCATTAAACATATGAATGTACTCGTATATTTAGTAACTCTGCTGGACTCTAATTAACAATAACAGCTTACAAAATAAAGGATAATATGATATCCATTTATTATATCTATAGAAATTTGTTAATAGTAAAGCTTTGTGAAGACTAGATGATAACTTCAGAACACCCCTAGTATGGTGGGTCGAAGCTCAGTGATTTATTTGACATCTGAAACCAAACACACAAAATCAAACTTGTGATCATTTTTTTCACATAATATGAAACCAATGGGCAGTAGATAGCTGCAAAAATCAACAGAACACGAGTAGCCGTTGATGGTCGTTGAATAGGGTAGTATCGCTTCTTCAATATTGGAATGAAAATAAATAGTTTGTTTATAAACAAACAACATTTTAGTGAAGAAAATAGTGATGGTTATATCACTCGAGTTTAGTCAGCATGTACACCGCCATGTTAACAAATGTAGGAAATATTTTGTCTTCATTAGCTATCTCAAAATATGCTGATTTTTTTGTCGTTTTTAACTATCGTATGTAGCGAAAGATTTAACATAAAGTGCTTTTAAAATCTCAGTTTTTTAGCTATCTCAAAGCAAGTTCACGGTCATTTTAAAGATGTAAATCGTGTGATAGCACGTGTGGGCGAGCACGAGTTACACGTGAAATGTGACTATAACAAAGACATAAGAAGAACTATTTCCTGTCTAATAGATTTTCGTAGCAGTATAAAGTAAGATAAGTGTGGTAGATATCGTCCGTCTTTTATTTTATAAGAAAAAATAATTTAAAAGCAAGTTCCAATTTTTACTTACATCCTTTTTTACTGTCGACCAACAAAAAGTGCATAGAGGACTGTTTTTGCAATTGAATTCATTTCTCTGGAGACAGGGTTGTTCCATTACACCTGTAGACATACAAAAAACGTAAAATAACTACTTTGCTAGACTCATCTTAGAAGCAAGAAATGAACAGTAAAAACTAGAAAATGAAACCTTAATCTTAGGAATTCAACGGTTAAGGATATCGGAAACACCACAAAAACTCCAGCTGCACAGTTGGCCTCTAAGAGCGGACGCACACCATTGACTAAACTATCTCACAAACGTTGTGCGATTGTTGATTGTTTTACAGTCAATTCAACTGTTTAGTTGCACAACTAAAGATCGAGTAGTGTCCGCAACTCCAGAGGTCATAGGAATTAAAACCAGACTAACTATTTATGCGATAGTTTTGCCAAATGTGTGCGCGCGGTCTAATAATATAATAAAATAATTTCGTTACCTGTATACAGCTGGTTGTCAAGATGTGTGATATAGCTGCCGGCGAGTCGCAGGATCTCAATCTTGCTAAGCTTGCGGTCCGGTGGCTCCGTCGGTATCAGCAGCCGGAGAGCGTTGAACGCCATATTCACGCTGCTTGGAAACCAGAAATAATATTTTGATAACTATTATAAACCATATGCAAGATATAAATCGACGCCATAATTTGAGATCTGAGAGGTTTGGAGAACTAGAAAAGCAGTCAAAGTAATTGAATAGCATCCGTCGAAATCTAGGCATCGCAACTAACTAAAATTTTTAAATATTGAACTGTCATACATTTTTCATATTTCTGAAGAATTTTAAAACTATTTTGTACTAACTTTTGTGTCCTGTCTCTCTCTCTTGCATTCGCCTGGCACCTCTGCTTCGTATTTGGGACTGCTTCCACTGAATTATACGTAACCGACTGCGTTACATTCTTCTCCCAGCCATTTTCAATGTATCTGCAGTTTATAAAATTATCCATGTTATTTTCTTATTTATATTTTTTAAATTAGAAACGCGGCTATCAGCGTGAATGTAAGTTGCGTACTAATGCTCGTGCGGGTTGTAGGTCCACTAATAAGTGTCCCGATGGATATCGCTCATGAAGGAGTCATTTAGGAAGAACAGCGCGCGCCATACCCCGGCTCTTAACCGATAATTGTATAAACAGATGGCTCCCGCTCCCGCGTCAACAGGGCCGCACTCGTCATTTTTAATTTTATAGTTAAAATTTCAATATTTTTTTATGTCACACTTTTTTTCGAGGTATAGTAAAATAAGTTAAGACATATGATTTTTATTTTACTACTGTTTTCAGTACCTTTATGTGTAAGGACAAATAGGCTACCATTGTGGCCTTTAATTGTACAGATCCGGAAGAGCATTTCTTAATTTTTTATCTAATTTATTTAATATGGATAGTGTGAACAGTAAATAGTACGTAAGATGTAGATTCCGACCCTGTCATGGCGAATGACTGAGTTGTCATCAAGAATGTAAAACGCGGATTGCCCTCCTTGTCTCTGTTAGTTTAGACTAACAACGGCAATAAATATTTTTAATGTTCTCAATGATTTCTCAACGACGTGACTCAACAAATTTTTTTTAATAATATTTTTGTTCTTATCGGGTACAGGGTACAAAAACTTTTGTATGCTCTAAGTAATTCTAGATTAAATATATCAAGAACATTCAAACTTTTCTTGTTGTAACAGACACAAAAAACAATTTGCTTAGTGGGCGGAAGGCTGATGAAGCCAGGAATCCACACTAGTAGTCACGTAGCGTGGGTGAACTTCCTACTAAATTAACATGTTGTTAAGGTTGCGGCAATTCTTTCTTCTCTGAATCCCAATTATTGTGAGAACCATATGAAGATTCATGAGAAAGACTTGATGTGGATATCCTGTTGATTAATTTTACAAGCTAACTCTTGCTTCTTTCGAAAGAATAGACAGCAGATAAAAAATGCCTTTATTTTTCGATAGGATTGTTTTAAATTCGTAAAAGAACTTTAAAATTAGTTCACTGTTTTATGAGTTTATTAAGTAAAACAATTTGGTGTTTACAAAATTATGGTAAACACTTTATTGGTTAAACGAATGTGCGTACGCTGCGTACAAAGTTAATTGTCGCTCGTTGCCCGAGGGATGTAAGTCGTGGGAACTTGTTTTAATTGGTTGAATTATAACTTCCAACGCAAAGACATTTGTGTTCATTCAAAACGTTAACGAGGTTTCGCGAGAAAAAATGTACCAAGTCATAGAGATGTTTGTGTGTGTTTTGTGTTTAGGATTTAAAACATGTGTAACATGTTGTATTGCATGTTGAGGAAGTTGTGTAACATCGGTAGTTATTATCGTAAATTAATCAGTGTCAACAACAAGTATTAGTTAAAAAGTAAGCCGAAAATTCTTATAAGATCGGTTCTTGTAGGATCTTAAAAGGTGAAACAAGAGGACTTGTTATTTTTTGCAAGTCATCACCGGGACGGAATAAAATTAGCTAGAATATGCAAACCGAAGCACAAATATTGAGCTTTGCTTACATGAAGAAAATAGAAAGCAACCGCTTTATTACTTCACAATACTTAGCAACTAACAGTTTTTTATAGTCTTTTAATATGTAGGTACAATCACGGAAATCCACGGTGTTCCACTTTAGAAAAATGAACCAGTCGCAACAAGAACAGCTCCGCCTCTTTCTAAAAATAACTAATTAGATAGTAGTGAGTGGTACAAACGAAGGGATAATAATAAACAGAAACTACCTGTGTAACCGACTCTTTTTTTTCGTACAGATACATTTAAAAGCTGCGTTGTAAGGGTTTTTGTTCCGCATCTCGTTTTAAAATACTCAAACGATTGAAACTTTTAATGTGCAACACCATCGGTTTCCCCGATTGTACCTTCCAATATTAAGTATAATTATAATGAAACAATGTAATGTCAAGCCGAGTAGGTCAGACCGCACACAATAGCATAATGCTCAAAGCCACATCGAATCTTAATAATATGCTCAAAATTGCGAAGATGCTCAGACGTGAGTTAGTTTTGCATGCGACGTCACGGCCCCCCCTACCACGGGCGGCCAACCGGCGCGCCCGCACCACGGCCGAGACTTTCTCCTCCACGTTAGAGATACATCGTCGAGTCGCGGACCAAAACGCGCGCGAAGCGATCGCATTTAACGACATCCATCGTGATACTTCCGCGTACACTTTCGCCCCGTAAACACACGCGGACGTTTCGTGTTTCCCAAACGTTTCTGATTCAACATCCTGCGTTCGATTAGTTGTGTTTGTGTCATTCGGTGTGTGAACGATGCTCGAATAATTTGAGGTAAGTGATACCTTTCTACTGGCCGGTGCTAGACGATGACATTCGATGATAAGGTGGGCGAAGTGATCTGGTGAACGCAAGGACGATACCACGCTAGCCACGGACGATCACATATAAACTGGCTAACCATATCATTCGACACTTTATTACTTAACATTATGCTTGCTTTGTTCAACAATTATATTTATCTAAGCTTGTTTTGGACTTTCTTTTATTTCAATTCAATTTCTACCCGAAAATTATTTTACACCTTATTAGTGAACTGGCGATATCTATGGTATGATTTGACATAACTTTTAATTTAATAAATAGTAAGGTATGTTTGAAATGATTATTCACTGTTCAGTCTATTTAAATTATTAACTGTTTTATTTCTAATTACTATTTTAAAAATTACCTGAAACGTTCTCATAGGGATAATTCTATTTTTCTGATTGTCCTAAGATATTTTTTTAAGATTTGGCAACATTAACAATACTCATTACTTTTTTAGGAGGTCAATTAAGGCACAAGCTGTGAAAGCAATTGATAAAAATTTAATGGTTACTTTTTCTAGTAATTGTAACCATAAAAATTCTTGCCTAGAAATAGATAACAAAAGAAAATGTTCTTGAGTCGTTTATGTTTATTCATAGACTTTCCATGAGTCTAATCTTAAAATTAAATACATTTCTAGTTAGGTAACGTTGATCATAACACATGAGTGTGTTATTTACATAGTTAATTTACATTTTATTTTGAGTTATGTTTTTTATAATCGTAAATATTAGTTATGATGAGATATTATTACGCTAACCGGTTAATTGATAATTTTTTTTGGTAATACCTCTTATTAAGCAATATGCTTTTCATAATTTACACATCTTTATTGAACCACATTAAGTTATATCTCTTAGGTATAAAACATCAGAAATAAGAGAATCAATATCTTAAGAAAATCTTGCTTATCTAAGTATTGGTAAAAGCAAAAGACGTGTTTAAGAATCAAGGAAAATGGAAATCCTTTCTCTGTCTACACCACTTAGCGAAATGTTAATGGGTAACCGAGTCCCCTAATATCTATTATATTATCTTTTCAACTCCTATTGATATTTTATAAACTTTGTGTACTATTCGTTTTATTAAATAGTACCTTTCGCCGCGGCTCCGTCCGCGTGGAATTAAAAAACAAAAGTGAGAGTAGCCTTTGTGTTCTTCCAGACTATCCCCTATATCGGAAATCGGTTCAGCCGTTTAGGCTATAAACTCTAGCAAATATCTATCTATCTTTTTCATTTATAATATTAGTACGAATTAGTATGTTTTCAACTTGTGAGTTGTTATTCTTAGTACATCCTTGATGTCTAACAATTATCAAATGACATAATCGTATTAACCCAGATATTTTCCATATGATACTAAGAAACTCATACGAGTAATGATCGTAAATGATGGGAAAACTCATGATTCATTGAGGATCTCCGTTGACATCCTGCCAATGACCTATTACAATGGCTTCTTGTCGCGAGGCGGTTTAGCAACATAACTGAAGGAACCGTTATACACTGTATTTGCCGTGATAATCGTGACGTCATGAAAAATGTTATGTAGTTAAATAGTATCTTGCTGTCCGTGAATTTGTAATGCCTATGCTGTTAAATCATTTATCACTAATTTCTTTTCAAAATATAGCAATATGTTTTGTCAAAAATGTTTTTGTCGGTGGAAACGCAACTGTATAATAAAATCGAAAAATAGTTAAAGTAAAATTGATAAATAATTCAATAAGTTCCTATAACGTAAGTGTTGTACTATTTATTGGTTGGAATACAATTGAAAATAAACCAAAAATATAAACATTTATAATTTGGGAGAATGGAAATCAAGAAATTAACTGGAATTAATTAATTATTATCATTGCGACCTCAAAACATGCAGAGCAATTATCGACAAAATAAAAGTAAAGAGCAAAATAAGTGTTGTAATTAATTTAAGAGTGTTATATCAGAAATTTTCACAATGTAATTTCATAACCAGCAACAACCAACAGACAAGTATAAAAGTATAAGAATAAAGTATTGGATAATCATACTAATACTCGTATTAAAAATGCGAAAGTTTAGATGGATGGATGTTTGTTAGAGTTTGTAGCCTAAACGGCTGAACGGATTTCGATAAAACTTGGTATAGATATAGCCTATGCTACTCACTTATGTTTTATAATACCACGCAAATGGAGTCGCACGAGCACGCTGTAGCTAGTTATTTCCCGCGAATTCCGCCTCACGAAATGAAAAAATCGAGTAATAAAAAGCCTTTGTTCCTCAGCAATAATGTAACTTTCTAATGTTAAACGAATTTATAAAACGGCAACGCCTTTGCAATCAAAATTCTAATATGAATCAAATCTTTCTTGTTCATAATATTAATATAGATGTTAATTAATAAAACCGGCTACGGTGTAGGAATTTAAAATATTATTAATTGGGCAAAAATCTTATAAAATAGAGATAATTCAAAATTTAATAGCACCTGGACATACTAATATTTACAATAACTAGACAGCTATTAACAAAGCTGCAAAATGGTTAGTCACTTTAGACATTGCGGTTTATGCGGTGCGAGTAAAAGCAATACTTAAAATATTTTTAACTTCACTCATAAAAAAAATTATACAGACCTCCTTCTTTTGGGAAGTCGGTCAAAAAATACTTTAAAACAAATTGTTATTTTGTGTTAGCAGAAAATTATTTAGATATTCAATAAATTTGCTCTAATTATGTAAAATAACATTGTCATTTTATTATTGGAATTGTATTAAAATTTATTCATTTTTTAAAGAAACATTCTTATGTGAATATACGTTAAAGATACCTGTTTTATTCCATCCTAAAAATATTATTAGTCCAATGTATTTCCTGACCGACCTTTAAAGCCAGTCATGTGAATAGTTTCTGACCGCAAGTAAAAATTATTTTTGTCTTACTATTTTTTTAACATCTCTTTAGTTACTTTTTCAATGATGATAAATCATATAATTCTTCATTATACTTCATTATAAATGCGAAAGTTTAGATGGATGGCTGTTTATTAGAGTTTATAACTGATTTCTATTAAATTTGGTATAGATGTGGAGGATAGTCTGGAAGAACACATAGGCTACTCATTTTTGTTTTTAATTCCACGCGGACGAAGTCGCGGGCGAAAACTAGTTCTCGCATAAAATTAAACAGAGGTACATAAAGTGTCATAAATTCCGTTGACTGAATAAGAAATCATTGCTTTTATCAGGCTATATTTTAAAAGAAGGCAGTTTTATAAAAGTTTTGTAGAAAAGTTTAAGTCAGATTTTTTTTTAAAAATGATCCTACTATAAGGAATAAATTTAATAAAACGGTAACAGTCTGCGTTTCTGTTATAGTACAATATTGTAAACGAACGTCAGGCTCAAGTTAGTATCAAGTAACGCATAAGTTATCAACTTCACACGCGCAAGCTTAAACAAACAAAGGTAGGTGCGAATCGCTGCGATTACATGCAATGAAGGCCACTCGGCACCATCAGATGCTCACAAGTATGACAAAAACTTAAATTCACACTTAGATTCACTTAATTGTCACTGACGAATTCACATTAGAATCATCGCTTCACGTAGATTTAAAATTACAAATATACACTAGGTTTGTTATAAATATGGGATAATGACAGGGCTTTTGTTCTAAAGCTCTTGCCTTACATTGCTTTGTAATGTTCGAATAGTGTAGGATTAGTAAAAAAAACTCCTAAACGAATATTAAAGTATAGATAAAAAATTATAACATCCTCTCTCTATTTTGTCAGATATCAGTAAAATATATGTTTACTTAACTACGCGTAAACTAACCAAGATAACCTATGAAATTCTTTAAAGAACAAAAACATTTGAAGATTGTAATTAATCTTAAGGCTAATGCATGTTCATAGACCAATGACCATATATTTTATTGTTACGGCGTATAATGTTAGGACGGTTCTCTACGAAGACACCAGTTTGGTAAGACGGCCTTGTCTGATAGTTTTATAGGTCACAACCACGCACCGCTTGCCTAAGCGCAATTATATATGACCGGTCATTATTTTATGTTATGAATTCGAAACTTATCGGCAACATCTTGAGAAATTTTAACGCCCGATTATTTTAATCACAATAGTAAAAACACGATAAGATTCCCTCTACATTTTTAACTGTGAACTTTAATAGTTTGTACATAAACGGTGCTAGTTTTCTCGAGATATAAAAAATTGGTTACTTATTTTAATAAAATTAACCAAAAAAAAGATTAACATCTTATTACTTGTTCTAATAAAATAAAGTAACAAAATTCATGTAAAATAAACTAAGATATCATTTAAAAAAAAAGACATAAATATTAGACACTTATGTGGTCTAATTCAGCCCAACTTCCTTTAGCGATCACCTCGAATTGCTCTAGTAAGATAATACCTACAACAAAGTAAATGTACGTTTTTGCCACGCACTGTTTGCGATACAAGTTTTACAACTCAATGTCTTTATTCCCAACAATCACCAACGGACATATTTGGAACTTTTTACATGTTTGTCCAATTAAATATATCATAATAATTAAATGTCACCAAATATATTTACACAGTCTTTTGCAAATACTTTAATTGGCATTACATTTACCGTGCTCGCGATTTATTTGACGTTAAATGAGGTTGTTAACCTGAATTGCATCAGTTTGTGTTCTATATATTCGGTGATGAAAGAAATTAAATAAGAACTTTTATAGTAAAAAAAAGGCAAACAAGCTAACAGTCTGATATATTTAACAAAGCGTAATGATTGCAAATGTCCATAGACATCTATAATAATCTTATGAAAAGATTATTTGTATTTTTATTTGCATTGAAATAACTCGAAAACTACTGGGCCGATTTTAAAAAACCTTTCACCATTCGAAAGGTAATTTATTTATGAGTAACATACTATTATATATTTTTTTAATATCACGGGGGCAAAGTCGCGAGCAACGGCTATTTGTTATAAGAATGCATTTCCTACGTTTGAAGGATAGAGAAAAGGATGTGTAAAAAGGGTATTTCCCTTTCCAATAGTGACTACAAGAATAACTAGTGTATGAAATCGTTGGGGAAATGTTGGCATTAAAAAACCTTTAAATGTATATTATGATTATCACTCAAGATGCATTTAAGTAGTGTTGCGTCTGCACGTACGAGGGCAGAGATTGCGTGCGGCGAGCTGGGTGCTGTGAGTGCTGTCGAGAGCCGCATTGCTCAACGCTGCATGTGGGCCAAGCGACAAGCGCGATCAAACATCTTTCCCTCAGTGTACTCGTTTGACAAAACAATAAATGCGAAATTACGTTTTATTTTACATATTTGTAACAAAAACATTTCCTAGAATAGGAACTACGCCTATAATCCACATTAATAAGAGCAATACAGTTTGTCGTATATTAGTGAACTAGCTGTTGCTCGCGACATCGTCCCCATGAAATAAAAAAATTAAAACGTAGTCTATGTTTTTCACTGATAACGTAGCTTTTAAATGGTGAAATAATTTTCAAATTCGGCCCAGTAGTTTTTGAGTTATTTCAATAAATACAAAAATACAAATATTTCCTCTCTGTAGTAGAAGTATAGATAAACAACATTTAGATATTAATGAAATATCACTTAAAACACGTATAAGTTATAGAGCTATATCATAATGCACATTGTGACCCACTTTTACAAGCAACTCACTTGACTGCAGACACGTACGACTACAAACTACCATCGAAATTTATTGCACATTTATTATCTATATTTTAAGATTACAATCTTTAAATTCATATTTCTCTACAGGGATTTTATAAAAATAAACATCATTAGTGATACGTTATTTGTAACTTAATTCAAGAACTAAAGTATTGAACTTTAATCGAACGAGAACATAAAAGGATATTATTTATAGTACGTAGTTTTGAATTCAAAGACTTTCTCAACTTAAATATAAAAATCTGCAACAAAGATCGGTCATAAAAGTCAATTTGAACAACATAGAAATTGTGGGATATCTGAAACTAACTTCATTTGTTTCTTTTATTCAAGTGACACTTCCATTATGTTTTATTCATGTTTACTTATACATTTATTCTGCACATTTGATCAATATCATTTCTTGGTAGTATGGTTCTAACTATAAAAAAAAATGTGGTAAAATATAAAACAAAATCTATATCTATACTAATATTATAAAGAGGAAAGATTTATATTTTTGTATGTTTTGGAATAATTCAAAAACTACTGTGTCGATTTCGAAAATTCTTTCATCATTAAAAAGCTACGTAATCAGTATCACAGGCTGTGATTTTTATGATTTTACGCGGATGACGTCGCGAGCAACAACTAGAATACAAGAATCTATAAAAAAATGCATTTACCTAATATCAAAACCAAATCGTACAACGAAAGTGTAGCAAAAAGTAATTGGAGGTATATACCAAAAGTCATGGCCTAGCGTAACATTGTAACAATCTTCGAAGAGCTGATTGTAAAACAAATTCAAGTAACCTCAAACACTTGTAACTGCGAAGGTCTAAATATTGTAAATACAAGTTGACATGATTCGCTTAAGGCATTCGACGAATATGGCACGATCTTTGGTCCGACGCTGCAACACGTTTGTTATAGATATACTATTATTCAAAATTTATTGTGGCTCCGAATATCACACACGACGCTACTTAGAACATAATTTAATGTATCAATACGTCATCGTATAAGTATGCAGGGTCAGGTTTCCGAATGCGCTTTCCTCCGCAGTAGGCTCACTTAGCATCAGACTGCACCGTCATACGCTCGTCAAAAATATCGAGCTGATATATGATTTGAATCTTGTAATACTATATATCAATTTAAACGGCAACGTGCTTAGAATTAATTCACTTAATGCTACAAGTTACATGAATGGCAATTGGTTCCACTTTTATTTGGATCATGGAAGCTCTTAATAATATTTTATGAATTATTAATAAGTAGCACTCCAATATATTTTAATAATAATTTTAGCGCAATTTTGCTGTTTTCGACGCCTTGTTATAGTCTCCTTCTCTTTATAATAAACATTTAAAAGGTTTACGTAATTCCATTTCTCAGCAACTTACTCTATCCTAAACATTAGGATTACTCAAGAATGTAAAGACGAATAAGTGTGATGTTTCCTTAATAGTAATAACTAAGTTATTTACTTGTATTTCCCTATTTAAAATCAAATAATACCTAGGACTCTTAAGTATTCATGAAGCGTTGTCTTTTATAAGTCGTTTACGCACCGACACTTACATAAGTGATGCAACAAGGAAATAAAAATATGCAAACAAATGTACATGCGTACAAATTATTATACAACAATAAATTAAACGCCAGTTAAAAGATTTACAAATCATATCGCTTACTAACCTTACGCACGTTGCATTTCTTCAGTTTTAACTCTACAGTGGAACTGTACAGTTAAAATTGTGCGTAAGTGAAAACATTAACTGTAGAGTTTAACTGACAGTTAAAATTTTGTAAACGCGTTTGTATACAGTTTATTTGGTGTAAAATAATCTATTCTTTATTCTTTGATTTCAGATTTCCAGAAATCAAGATGGCTGCCAATAGGCGCCCTTGGTCGAAAATGCAGTCTGTTATACTCCTCTTCGCCGTTACTTTGTGTTCATGTGATCCTGGTACGTTAAAACAATAATAAAAAACGTTCAGATTCTATTTGTATGTGCTTACAATTGTTACATTTATACGGTCATACTCGTATATTCTATTTGTATTCATGCTCGGGGTATTATAAGAGTAAAATAATTCAAACTTACTTTTTATGTAGGATCAAATAGAATAGTAACACTTTCCGCGATATCGTAAAAGGTAAGTTGGAAGCACACCCACTGTGTGAAGGCAAACAGTACACAAAAACCTCGCTTACATCCGAGCAGTGCAGTCTATAGGTCAAACCTTGGTTAACCGTTATATTCATGTTACAATTAAAATATCAAAATCAAAGAATAAATGATTGAAAGACATTTTGCAAATATTTATACATAATTGGCCAGTTTCAACAAGTTATTTGATCTTGTACTGAGTTAATAACTCTATAGCATGTGAAATTTATACAAAAAAATGTTACCATTTTAATAAATGTTCAAATTGAATTTTTAATTGAACTAAATCATCACATATCCTTATATTTTTAGAACAAACAATTGCTGTGCTATTGTACAGATTGATGAAGAAACCAATCTTAAAATAGGCTTGAACTTAACAAATGAGATCCGTTTGTGTCGTTGCCTTTAATGTCAAAGTCCTTGTAAACGGATGATATCTATAGCTCCGGATGCCTTTGTTGGAATTGTATCATTCTTCTTGCTATACGACATATTCTTGAGACTTCTTCAAAGAACAATGTAGTAGATACCATAAATTACAAAATAAAGTATAGAAAATAAAATACTACACTACATCTGTGTAATGATTTAATTTATATTATACATATGTTTGCAAATGTACAACTTATTTAATGTACAAATTCGTTTAAAACGTTTGACGTTAATTACTTGTAGTCTATCGCATTAATGATTTAAGATTATTATGTTCTTATAGGACCTTATTTTAAGTTTTTATTATAAGCATAGGTTGACAAATTGTCACTAACCTCTTGTTACCGAGTCTCAGATCTTTCAGTGTACATTCGTGAAACACACGCTAAATACAACACTCGTCATCCCCGTTAAATTGCTGAGTTGTACTTCGACAATGTCAAAAAGTGGATCAAGTCGTTTCGTACATTAACACTTGAACTTGCTTCCGTGACGTCAGTATCTTGACATTTTACTGTGCTCCACGTAATGGAGTCACGAAATTGTCTGCAGAATTTCTTCGCGACCTTCACGATATCCAGCTTCCGGTAGGTCAAGGTCTTACGCTTAGTTAACACTACTATTTTATCAATATTTCACAAAGACTTATTTTAAGATTTTTGCTATATAAGGGTAATTTCCGAGATTTTTTTGCAAAATTTCACTATAAGCGAATGTGTTATTTATTTTGTTTAAGATTAAATAATCACAGTATAAGCTATAAATATACTTTAAGTGAATTATTATTTGTACTTCATTTATTCGATTAAAGTAGTTCATAGCGTTATCAAACACGTTTGTATCGATGACCTTAAGTTTTGCAAGTAGTAAAACTTTTAGCAGTTTTACATGTACATTAGCTAACAAGGCTATTAGTGCCTCGTTTAAATATTCATCCAGATAAAAAATAGATTAAAAATCGTAAGCATTACGTTACGATGTAAAGAAAAATACATGCAACGAATTATACTATTCTCGATTTATCTTAAACAACCTTTTTATGTCTATTTAAACTATAAAAGTTGGAAACGATTAAACAAATTGAAAAACTATAAAAAAACTTAATTTAAATTAAGCAACTTAGTAAGTGAAGATCGGTGTAATAACAAAAAATTAACTATTTCCTTTTTAAGAGCTTACCGACTTTAAGCCTTGGCCAAATAGCTTAACGATTTGCATGTAATACAATAGGCATTAAATGATTTTATGATGAGTTTTTTCTTAATTAACACGTTTACGGCCACAAAAAATTAATTACCTGCAACGATGCTTTAGATGATAAACTGTGTTTGTACCATTTTGTTTTAACTGTCCTATAAAACGTTATCGAATTATTTTTGTATTATTATTACAATGCTAGATAGGAACTTTTGGGTAAATTATACGTCACGTCAATTAAACATTAAATAGCAAAAAAGACGTAAATACTTCAAAGGTTTTAATTAAAAACAAATGAAATATAAAACTATGTAAGATTTAGTATAGGGATACGCATGTTGTGATATTTAACGATCTCCCCCATTACATCCGGGACATTTTTTGACATTTAAATGTCAATTGTCGACTAACTTCCTGAGATCATAGCCTAGGATTTACACTTCCTGGATTTTAGCATTTAAAAATCACGTTTCCTGATTGTATTTGACATTGCATTCGCACGATCTACTTGCTACTTGATATTTAATGACCTTGAAAGAAGACCTTTGTAAAGATTAACGTTACGTCATTTAGATTAGCAACGAAGATACAAGACATTACTTGTATAAATTAAAACAATACAAAAACAATTGAAAACTATCACTCTCACCACGAACAGTCCTTAAATTACTTGAATAAAACATCAACTACTTTCTAGTATCAAATCCGTACTTAATTCTCTCAACATTAAGTGGCTAATACAAATGTATATTATAGCTACGTGCGTTTGAGTCGCATCGCACAAGTGACGAGAGAAAGCAGACGAAGGTCGCCATTGTGTGGCCTCCACTGACCACGTAGATATTTGGACGATGACTCTTATGACGTTTGCCTTGATTTGAATGATGTCTTCTTAAAAATTCAAAGAAAACTTAAAATTTTATCAATAAAAATAACAAAGAAGATTAAAATTAATTGTATTTAGGTAGCGACGTTGTTTTAATTTACAGGTCTTCAAGTTTAACTAGCAATAGTAATAAACATAATTCATACAAAGCATAAGACCTCGCACATCTTTGACTATACTAATGCAGAACTGTTTAGTCTTGTTTCGATTCCTATAAACTACATGGAGGTGCGCAAACTACTCGATTTTTAGTTGTGCAACTAAACAGTTGTTTTGGTTGCGTAATAATCGACAATCGCACAGCAGTTGTGTGATAGTTTCGTCAAAGATCAGCTTCAGCTCTAAAGCTTTGTCTTAGTTACTGATATTTACCGTATTCCATATAATTAGTTTCCTATAGCTACTTATTCTAATGAAGTTGTTGCTACCGAGAAACGAATAGCTTCCTTGTCACATAAACATTAGCAGATACGTTGCGATGAGATATCTGTTTAATGCTTGTACCTTTATCTTACATCACGAGTGTAATCATGTGTTTCAGTTGCACAAACATTTGTACAAAAACATATCGTTGTCTCTGTTTAATCAAAGATAATGAAAGAGATGACTGTGAATTTTTGTACATATGTTTTGATTGTGGAAACCCAGGTTATTGGCTTAAATCGTTAGCCATAAGCTGAGTACCTTTTAATAGCTTTAAGCAAAGTTAACATTATCTACGTAAGATCTTTTGTTTTAATTTAATTGTATATGAGTTATAACTCTAATACGTTGCAATAAATGTTTAAAATTGTTCACGGCCTCATTAGAGGTTATATTTACAAATATTTGTCACCAAGGGATAAGAATATGTCATGTGATATGAATTGCCTTTAGTAATATTAGGAAGCTCTGTCCATAACTTATAATAAATTCGGCGAATTAAATTACAACTCTTGTACTCATCAAAATATTGTAAATCCTCAGAAGTAATATGTTAAAATAAATTGACGTAATTATGTTTTGCAAAAAGAAGCTAACCCTATTAAGATCATGCCTCTTTTTTTAAAGCTATGATCTCATTTGCTATAAGATAACAAAAAAGTTGCTTCTTTTTTCTTCAGAACTCATTTGCCCTGCTGACTGTACCGGATTTAGTTTTTATACGCGGATACGGTTGAAAAACTAACTTCTCATCAATCACTGGCATCAAACACACGTCATTTTGAGTAGTTCTCATTCAGAAAACCCCTAATCATCGTTTTGTATTGTTAAATGTTACAATTAGCGCCACTTTATGGCTATTATAGTAATTTGCATATCATGCGTCTTGTTTTCTTATCCTTTAACTTGACTAAGATCACGAATCTATTAATCAACTTTATTATATTTTTTGCTGAAGTAGTTTAAAATAAGTATAAGTATTGATTGAAGTTGGTTCAAACATAACAGTAAACTTTCCGTTAGAATATGCACGTTAAAAAGTATGCATAATTTACTCGTATCGTGCCTGTCAACTACTATTGATAGATATGTCGATAAACATTGAATAATATCGATTGATAATTTCTAAAGTGGAATACGTCGGATGCATGCCGCCTCTCGTCGTGTCGCCGTCGCAGCTGTCAATGAAGTTCTGACAGCTACGCTTATAACAACATTTAAAGCGACCAACACATTTGACTAAACAACTGTTATGCGATTGGCGTTTGTTTTGCATCCAATTCAACTGTTTAGTTGCACAACTAACAATCGAGTGGTATGCCTCCATATCATCCATAGCATAAGATCATATGAATCAAAACGCGACTAAATAGTTGTGCGATAGATTAATTTCAGGTGTACAGAAGCTCTTACTATTACAATTATATAAATTAATATCTTGATCGAACGTCGATTCGTTGACCTATAACTTTTCTAGCTTATGTCAATGACAACTTTTATCTATATATATTGAATTGGGAATCAAGTTTTATTTACAGTGCAATTAAAATTTTATTTCAACCAATAAAATTGTAATAACGATAAACCATAACTTAAAATAACAATACTTACTTACTAGGCTTGTTTAACAATTTTAAATCAATGCATTTTATGAATACATGTTACTACTATAAATATGTATTTATTACAAATGTAGGACAAATGGTATATAGCGTCTAAATCATTTGGGTCAATAATAAACAGATTATAAAGTGATATAAAATACATACAAGGCAATAATTATGAAAGAAATATTGCCGAGAAAAAACAAATGCAATATAAAACGGATTTACGATTTACCGTGCAATTGGTGCAGGTGCAGAATATAACCGTATCATACATGTTTCATGACCAATTACGTTCGCCTTCACTTAAATATTAAATGTCAACTGCAATATATGTACAAGTTACTATTAACTTACATTTATCCCTTACTAAGTATTTCTGAATTAAGAAAAATATATAGCAAAGTAATAATTTGTCATTCTCAACATTCTTTTACAAGTTTTAAAGACAATTTGAAATAATTAACGTTAGATATAATAGAAATAAATCGATTTAAATGTTTATCCTACGCAATAAGTTACATTACATTTATATTTCAGTAGCTTTCGCCCGCGACTCTGTTCGCATGGAATTAAAAAGAAAATTAAGTATCCAATGTGTTCTTCCAGACTGTATTCTACATCTTTGTCAAATTTCATCAAAATCCGTTCAGCGGTTTAGGCTATAACATCCATCCATCGATCTAAACTGTCGCATTTATAATATTAGTATGACTATGATAGTAAGATAATAAAATAATAAAATAGTAAGATTTATTTTTATCACAATATTATTAACAATATACGATATTTCCAACCAAAAACATTTTTCGTCAATGTTCGTATTGTCGTAGATGTCATGCATTCTACCTAATTATGAATGCATGACATCTGGATACTAGATCAAGCTTATACTCAAAACAAAAAGTAACCTACAATGCTAGACGGTATTTAATTTTCATCTCACGTAAGAGGTTAATTGTATACGCTTTGGAATCTCGTTTTTAGATTAACCAGGTTTTTACAATTAAATAAATCTATTGGATTACGTTTTTGTGATAATTCAGATTAATCAATTACTTAAATATATACATATAATAAAATGGGAATGTATGTTTGTAATATAAAAAGTAAAATTCCAGATTTCGGAAAGATTATGTCTTTACGTCGCTTATAACGAAAATCGCATTTAAAAATTTTTTGTCTGTCTGTCTGTCCGCAAGTCGCGTTTGTTCCGGATAATCTTTTAACACCTGGGCCGATTTCGAACGGACTTTCTCTGAAAGGTAGCTGACAGACGGGCATATTATAGGCTACTTTTTTATCTTAATATTGCGAGGACGAAGTCGCGGGCAACAGCTAGTATGTAATAAATATAAAGTACAAACTGTTGTCAAAGATTAATTATGTCAATTTGACATAAGCAAAATGTTTATTTTTTTTATTACAAATAGTCAAGTTGGAAAAGAAATGAAAAATCAATTTGATGTAATTATCTTACACAAACGTATTGAATTTGTTATAGACAACAGTCTTCGGAAAGTTATAATTTTTATCAGCAATATACAAGTTTTGATTTAGTTTATTTTGTTTCAGAAATATATTATGAAAAGCAGCGATACGATGGCTGGTACAATAACAGAGCTTATCCTGATTGGGGATCCGTCGGTGAGTATTTAACATAACCTCAGAAGGCGCCTTATTACTTTTTATATAAGTATGATTAATAACACGGGTCCTAGATCTCAAGTGTTTAGAACCTAACCTCAATATTAACTGTACTTTTATATTTCTCTACTTGTATCTAGATAAACAAATTCAAACGATTGCAACACATCTATAAATAATATTGCCACAGGCCGTTATTTTTTTATCAGTTACTATTGTTATACTGGTATTCAGGCGTAATCACAATAAAACATTTGATTTATCTATACGACCTCGATGTTATAGTTCTGTGGCTACTAGCGCAGGTGTTAATTTTTTAACGTAAAGATTGAATTAAAAATTATCATTCCATTCGTTAGTCCAATAATTGGATTTTATCACACAATAATTGTTAAACTTTATAAATACCAACATAAATTAACTACAAAATAATTATTTTCATTCAAAATATCACCATATGAATTCGGGTTATAATTACAATGCAAGCAAAGTGTACAGTCAGTATACACTGAACCGTGTGCACATTTCTTTCCTAGATAAGTTTCAAAGATTTTTTTTAAATACGACGCATTTTAAAATTTAAGTTATACAACTTAAATACACATACGTGTACATCATAAAATTTATAACGGTATAATTGTATAACACAGACCTTAGGAAACGCAAGTGGAATTTTGCTGTGAGACTCATCAACACATAAATAATGAATGAATTAAATTACAAAGTGGTATGATGACATTCACGCGGAGTTACTCATTACGGATGAAACAGTTGCAGTGTAGTGGAACACAAAACACCGTATAAAAGATTTCAACGCATAAATACAACTAAGCTATAACATAAAATGTATAAAATCTTTTTGCCATAATTAAAATCGTTAAATCTATACATTTAATAAAATTGGAGTGCCAGTTTGTAAAATCAAAAGAAAAAATCCAAATTTCGGGAAGATGATGTAGCAATGACAAAATCGCATTTAAAAATTTTTGCCTGACTGTTTGTCTGTCTGTCCACAAGCCGCGTTTGTTGCGGGCAACCTCCGAAACGACTCGGCCGATTTCGCCGGGACTTTCACTGGAGGGTAGCTCACATGGATAGACATATTATAGACTATTTTTTTTATATCCGCGCTGTCAAAAGTACGTAACGCGTGGTCCAAATTTGCGCTAACGAAGTTTGCAGTCGACAACTCATTTGAAATAAAATTATTAGGTTAAAAACTTCAACTGGATATAATACCATTTTGCATCTCAATTTAATATCCCTATCTTTTACTTTCAATTGCCATTGTCGGACGAATATTATTCAACCACGAAAAATCCCAACTACACTATGCAATAACACAAAAAACAAGCATAAATTAGTCTACATATCAATGAACTGTAATTATTGTTTTCAGATCACGTTTTTTTGTTTTTTGCTACATTCTCACGTGTTGCGATTTTTCTTTTTTTTTTGGTACTAATTTTGTCGATGACCGTTAAAGCCAATGGCTGTATAACAAGTGAATAAACATTATTTCGATTCTATATACTCGTATAATTTTAAATCTAATTTGTCCCTTTTTTATTTCAATCTGTTGGGCTTTTTTAATTAAAATATTTTTAATTAAAATTACGTAAGTAACATAGGCTGTGTTTTTACATATTTAAATTTCACGCCGACGAAGTCACAAACAAGAGCTATTTATGTATTATACTCATGGATTACCAGAATAAAATGGTTTAAATCAATTGGAAAGTCGTTGATTAGAGGTTACGTCACGGTCAACAGAGATACAAAAGTACTTGAATAAACTCTTATTTAAATTGTCATTCGTCTTGTGTAACTGATGGCTATCAAGGTAAATAGACACATTGGCATGTTCTGTACGTAGGTTAATGTCTAGCGGCGTGCGGACAAAAACTAATTAATGACTTCGTGTGAACCATTGATTTTGCTCGCATGTTTACAGGTCACGTTTATTGAATTCATTTTGGTCGGTTGCTATTACTGGAACTAAAGCTTAGACAAAACATTTGTATAGCTTATATCTGTTTTTTTTAATGGCGGCTTCTGCCGCTCTCGTCGCTCCCCTGAAATATATTTCTCAGGTACCTGGGATGCGATTGTTTTTATTTTCAAAAAAGTTTACAATCGGTCTAAATCTAAAATTACAGGTATCTTATTTCTATATCACAGTTTGTATCTCATATTCTAGCCCAGTTTTAAATCAATAAATTAAATTAAAAACTAAATTTACAATTAAAAGTTAGTAATAAGTATCAGTTATTTATGATGTTTGTATGACTACTAAATCCAATGATATACGATAATATGAAATTGATTACTACTGAATTGAAAAAAGCAATTAAATATGTAAATAAACGTTATTTTTTTACCTATTAATAGGTTAACTTATTTTACAGATAAATTAAGAACTGGAAACAAATGAAACTTGTTTAATTCGATTATGACTTTTTTTTAAAAGCCCATTGTTTGTTTTTGACCGACTTCCAAAAAAAAGGAGGTACTCAATTCGTTTGTTTTTTTTTTCAACGACAGTTTCAGTAATTTCAGTTTTAATCGCGCATTTTATTTAGTTTAAAATATAAATAAAAGTATTTCTTTTAATTAAACTCTGTAATGCACAATCTATAATATGTAAATTAACTTCATTACAATTCCAAATAAATTGTTTCTTTAATCTTAAGTCCATGGACATTTAAAAAAACAAAATGTAAGTTTGGTTTAAATTGCGTAAGCTCTTGTATCGATAGTCATATGTTTCAGTTACTGACAGCTGTTTATTATTCACATTATAAACAATCTCACTGTATGTTATTAATGGCCGGTTTCCCAGTTATATTTAACAATTCGTTAGTGTTTTTGATTAGTAAACTTCATTATATGCGTTTCTGAACTACGTTACTTAAGTTTTACGTTGCATCTTAGGTTAAACTAACACTGAAGAACCACTAGGTATTGATAAAATAAATAGCAACTTCAGGAACCCAGCTTAAGTCAACCAAAACCATAAAATGAAAGTTTAAATTGCGTAAGCTCTTGTATCGACATTCATTTGTTTCAGTTATCGACAGCTGTTTGTCATTCACATGATAAAGATACTCACTCTGTGTTATTAAGTCGTGCAACATGTATCGGTAATTATTGTCTCTGCCTGTGTTGAATATCTCGGCTAAATATTGCGTGAATACAAACGAATCACTATGATGATGTAATAAGTATCAAATGTTAAAACAAAATATAGAATTATTTGATCGAGGTTCGATTTTCCTCATCAATATTGCGACTGTTCAATTTATTATAACGTAATATTGGTAATTTAATATCTATTTATTCGTCTATATATAAATGATTGATAGCCGAGGGTTAACAGATGGTCAGATTTTCTTAAGCTTCCAAATGTTAAATATATTTGATTGTAAATTACAATAACTAATACTAATATTATAAACACAAAAATAAATGAATAGTTGTTTAAGTTTGAAGTCTAAACGGCTGAACGGATTTCGATGAAATTTTGTATAAGTGTAGAGGTAGTCTGAAAGAACACATAAGCTTGATTTTAGGTTTTTATTTATTCCACGCGGAGGGAGTCGCGGGTTAAAGCTAGTATATTGTTAATCGTCATTACCGTTCAGTTAGAGGTCATATAGATTTGTTTTTAAAAATAGAAAAAAAGTATAAAGTCGCAATTAATGTTTAAATAGCTTCGAAATAAAATTATGTATTTTAAAACGGTTAAAACGAATGAACATATTATTTAAAAGCACATTATATAGTTTCAAGTACTCTGTTATCTAACTGCGATAATTTATTAGGAATTAATTTTAAGATTAACACATCATTTATAACTTTGACAAGTTACCACGACTCGAGCCTCGGGCGACGTGAATACGGACACAAACTAATTGATATTACAACATATTAAAGTGACTTCGTAATTTCTATGACATATTCAAATGCTTGGAAAATATAAGCTTTTTAATAAAGGGAAATTTTATTTTCATTTTTCTACGCGTAGAATGGACACTTAGGGCCTGTCCCACCAAAGGCTGATAGAGGCTCAGACAGTTTGATAATGACGTCTCTGTCAGATGAGTGAACAAAATCCGATGTTTACAATTTTAATTTACAATTTGGTAGGACAGGCCTTTAGTGTCAAAAAGCATAAAACATATTTTAATTATTATAAATATACAGTGTTAGTAAACCTAATAGTTTCTCGGTTGTCTTGGTTACATTGTAATTTTAAAAACCCTTTTACGACTTTACCATTTTCGACTTCATGAGAATTATCTGGGTCAGTGTGTACTATGTTTAAATAAATATCACCTGTCTACTGTAATTGGAATAATATTTTATTGGCGTAGCGTGTAATCATCCATCTATAAGAATCTTGATAACCAAATAAAACCTTTTATTACAAAACAATAAGTGTTATTATTATTCGCAGATAGTAGACTAACACGAAAGACTCCAGCTTCGTACGCGGATGGTGTGTACATGATGGCGGGAGCTGATAGACCAGGAGCTAGAACTCTATCAAAACTATTCATGCGTGGACAAGACGGATTGCCATCGTTATCAAACAGAACAGCGTTATTAGCGTTCTTTGGTGAGTTTTAAAACTGAAAAAATACAGAAGTCTTATCATCATTAGTTTCAACTTCTTGCAGATCTACTATTAGTTAGGATTCTTATGTTACGATTCTGAATATGTGTATCTTTATTTATTAACTTTATTTATTAACTTTTTATTAACTTTCCAAAGCAAAAACGTCGTTCTTAATTAATATCATTTCCCTATAATAAATAGTAGTGTAATAACCGTTTTAATCCATTGAAAATTAAACTTCGAACTCTAATAAATAAGATATCATAAAACAACTAGTTTTGAGAATAATTTAAAGAATCTTTCACATGTTTCCCGTCAACAGGACAGGTAGTGACTGGAGAGATAGTAATGGCGTCGGAGTCTGGCTGTCCCATCGAACACCACCGCATTCCGGTGGACAAGTGCGACCACATGTACGACCCGGAGTGTCAGGGCGCCAAACACATGCCGTTCCTTCGTGCGGCTTACGACAGGCAGACTGGACAAAGCCCTAACAGTCCTCGTGAGCAAGTAAGATAACCATCATTATATGAGTGCTTATCTAGCCATAGTTTGAACAATTCCAATGAAATTGAACCCAAAATCCGTCGCAATTATGGTTTTCGACATAGTAAACTGGATTTGAATCCAAGACCTTATTAGTATGTATTTCGCAATATCAATGTCTAGATGTCATTCAAGTTATTGGAATGTTTTGCATATGGTAGTAAAAATGTCATGACTATAAAACACCACAGACAATAGATTAAACATCTAAAAAGGCACAACACTATGAAGACTTCAACGACACGAATTAAACAGCGCTAGTTCTTTTGAAATATCTCGAACTTTACTGGCTCGATGGTTATTTACCATTTGCAGATAATTTATAGTATACATTGACGTTAGGTACGTGGATTACCGTCTCTGTTCGGCGAAGGATAAATTCTATGCAATAAAGATTAATGTATATGTCTAACCCAGATCGCATCGTAACTGCGCAAAACTAAAGTCTACATTCAAATAGAAACTTTAATCCATTTTTAAATTTATATAACTTCAATATAAGTAGTGTTGGTGGCTCAGGGATTAAGCACTTGACTTTTAATTATGATTCTTTTTTTAATACTGGCCATGTACCGTTTTTTTTTTAATTCATACATCATTGTCAATATCACAAATATATGCGAATAAAGATGTACACATGTAGTAACGCTTTTTACTTAGAATAGGCTCCGCTGTACCGCGAGGTGCCTTATTGTATCTAATATGTATATGTTGTTCCAGATCAACCAGATAACGTCGTGGATCGACGGCAGTTTCGTGTACAGCACGAGCGAGGCATGGGTGAATGCAATGAGGTCATTTCAGGTGCCACCAGCAGCCACGCCTGCCTCTTTATGTACATTTCTATACGTTTACGTAGCTTATTATCACATATAGTGATACGTCACGCATCTTTTCCTTTTAAATTGATATCTGTAGTTAACACACGATCTTTGTTCCTACGTCGTCTTAATCTTAGTCACCCTAACAAATACATGGGCAGTGAAAAACACTATCCTTATTCCTCACATGGTTTCTAAATTATATATTGTTTTTAAATAAAATTGTAACATGGGGTCTATTACAAACCCTTCTGATCTTAACTAACAATATGAACTTAATATTGTAAATTCTTTAGCACATTTCCCTTCTTTTAAAGATATCGACAAATTAAAGAAAAATTGTCTAGTTGTAATAGTTTTCTTACTAACAATAACTAAAGATTACTGCAAAATTATACATTATAAACGTCATCATCATGTATAAAACATATGTACATTGTGTAACTGAATATAATTGCACTTATAGAACGGAAGTCTGGCGAGCGACGGCGGCATGCCCCTGCGCAACACGAAACGTGTTCCGCTCTTCAACAACCCTGTGCCCCATTACATGCGCATGCTCAGCCCTGAGAGACTATTCTGTGAGTTAAATGACCTACATAATTATACAATTTATACCATGATTCAGATTAAGACAAAAACAACAATTACTCTATGTTTATTGGTGATTATAATTATAATCGAATGTTGAAGGTTCAAATATCAATTAAAATATTTACTCATATAATTGATCTCCGATTTCGTAGAAATCAGGCTAGTATATTTGATTCGCTAAGCATATTAAATAATCATTTATTTTGTCTGAAATTACGTAATGTAAGGTGACTTAAAATCAAATTTCTTTTACAAATTCAAGTTAAGTCCGCCCATCGGTTTCCAAGTACTATGTTTTTGTAAGAATCTAATTGCATCACACGGATAGAAATATTTAATGGATTCAAAAAAACATTTGTTACGCGTTGCTCAGAAGCCACGGAAATCTTCCAAATCGTTTCTTATATTGATTGAAACAAGGTTTGATGTTCCATGTATAGTGTTAGGAGATCCTCGGACTAACCAGAATCCAGCACTTGTGACGTTTGGTATACTGTTGCTGCGTTGGCATAACGTGGTGGCAGCGCGCGTCCACAAACAACACCCAGACTGGGATGACGAGCAATTATTTCAGCGCGCCCGACGCATTGTCATAGCTAGCTTACAGGTAACCGTGCTAAATTAAATAACACTTTGTGTGAATGTGAAACCAAAGTCCACAATAAACTATCCCTTTTGTTTATCGTTATAAAAATGAAAGGTATCAGCACTTTATTAATTTTTTTACATCATTCGTATTATAATAGTCTTTTCCTCCTTTCTAATTTGTGAACGTAAGGATGCTATCAGACGTATAATTATAAGTATTGCATCAACATTTATTATACATTTGTAAAACATTACACATTCTCAATCTTCTCTAAAGCTGTATTTAGCATTTTATTATTCATTTTTATAATCTCCTGTCTCTCTAAGTTTAAGCGTTGACACATCCATGAAAACGAAATGCTTTAGATCGTGTCTTCATGCAAATTGTTTCATCAACAGAACATAATTCTATACGAATACGTACCAGCGTTCCTCGGGATACCTCTTCCTCCATACGAGGGCTATCGGGCGGAGATAGCTCCTGGAGTGACGCATGCATTTGCTGTGGCCGCATTTCGCTTTGGTCATACTTTGGTACCTCCCGCCATATTGCTGCGAGACAGAAATTGTAGATACAGCAGAGCACCCGGAGGACACGATGCTATTAGATTGTGTCAGACTTGGTGGGATGGGAATGTAAGTAAACATCGATAGAAATGGATTTACATTATTACAATCTTAGTCCCATGTGATTAATATTATAGTCACAATTCCTAATGAAAGAATTTATTGGAGATAGTCTGGATGAAAAAAAACCACTAAGCATGAAGAAATAGAAATCGTTGTTCTACGAACGTTCTACAAACAAAAATTTAAAAAAAAACTTTTTGCTACAATTATAATAAAATTGCTTAAGAGCTAATAACAATGTTACGGAGCTGCTTAGATAAAGAGTTATTGTTCTAGGATGTGATGTCGCAAGTACCAATAGAAGAAGTACTAATGGGGATGACAACACAGTTGTCCGAGAGAGAAGATGCGTTATTATGCTCCGATGTCAGAGACAATCTCTTTGGTCCTATGGAATTTTCTAGACGCGATCTTGGTGCACTGAACATCATGAGAGGTAGAGACAATGGATTACCAGATTACAACACTGCGAGGTATTTACTTTCTTTTATCATTTAATTTTTCTTTTACCCAAACATTGTTTTAAATTACATTCATGTTTAAAAGGTGCATGTTTGATTTTTCAGAACATATTTCGGACTACCGAAAATAAAGACTTTTAACGAAATTAACCCTGTTCTCTTTGACAACAATCCAGATCTACTGCAAAGATTGGTACAAGCTTATGACGGAAAGCTTGATAACATTGATGTTTATATAGGTAAGTTAATTCTAATCTTACTTAGCAATATATTAATTTAAAGTGAATAAAGATCAAGAACTAGAAAAACTTGTTGTTAAACTTCAGCTTACTTATTCCATTTTGACACATAGATTATGTATAGTGATGTTTTTTAAGATTTTTTTTTTTAATTATTACAGGAGGAATGCTTGAATCGACTGGTCATCCCGGAGATTTATTTAGAGCAATAATTATAGATCAATTCACTAGAATAAGAGACGGAGATAGATTCTGGTTCGAAAACGATAAAAATGGGTACGGGTACTGAACTTAAGAAAACACCTACTTATCAATTTATAGAGAAGTAATATCTGATGTTATTCTTTTGTTTTAAGGATATTTACTCCTGATGAGATAGAGGAACTTCGTCGTATTACGCTATGGGATATTATAGTGAACAGTACAGCTGTCGGGCCTAATGACATCCAGCGCGACGTTTTTCATTGGAGCAAGGGAGACCCCTGTCCACAACCGTACCAACTTAATGCTTCTAAACTACCACCGTGCAAATATTTGAAAGGATATGATTATTTTGAGGTGAGCTTAACTGTAAAAATTGATATTATGCTGTAGCTGTAAGTTGTTCTATTTGATTTAAATAAAATCCTTAACAAAATAAACTTATTCGACACACGACTATTAACTTTATACCAAGTTTGCAATGAGAAATTCTAATTTCTAACCTGATATGCCTGCATTATTAAAAATCACCTTATCGAGGTGTAAACTGATCTAACCTGCTTATAAATTGCTCATTTACTCTTGACTTATAAAGGTATACCGCAAGTTGGTTGTGACTCATTCTATGTATTAAATTTGCACAGGGCAACGAGTTCGCATACATCTATACCTGTCTTGCGCTGGTATTTGTGCCAATACTGTGCGCGGGCGCTGGCTACGGAGTGGTTAAATTACAAAACAGTCGCCGACGCCGACTCAAGATACAACAAGAACATCTAAAGAATACTCAATACAAAGGTTTTTACTCAATAAGTATAAACATAGGAATCTAAAATTCAGTATTCGCGTAAAATTCATAAAATTATCGTTTGTTATTTTGTCAAAGGCCCAATGCACACTTATAATTTTTTATGAGAATCCAAATAATCTTTATGTTACTACAGTTCGTCAACCTAAGAAACTGATAACAAACACATCATAAACTATTGCTCAGGTTCAGTAGACAAAATGGTATGTCGCGAATGGGTGCACGCGTCGTACAAGCGGATAGTGAAGCTGCGACTCGGTCCCGAACCCGCC